CATATAAACTAATAACCCAAGATATTAATCCTAAACCTTCTTACTGTCAACTCTTCCAATATGAAATCAACCTATGAAAAGCATCTTTATAGAATATTTTGGTAGTGTACTGAAGGCATGATAGTTTTTTAATTTATCACACTCATAAGTCACAAAAGTCACACTGATTGTTTAAGTTAGTTTCACAAACACATTAACGACCGAAGTGGAGAAGCAAGGGGCCCCGGTTAAACCATGAACTTAGTTAGCATAGCTTTAAAAACTTTATTTGAAGTATTTTACTATATTAATAACACACATAAAGAACAGAAAAAATTGAAAGAGAATCCTTAGAATCATTGTGGCTGATAAATTATTGTGGAAATTTAAGACAAAAGGAAACACAATAAAAATTATTTAATGCAGTTATAAAAAATCATGTATATTTTATGATGCGCTCTTGAGGCAGAAATAAATTAGGACTGTTTTCTGCTCACACAGTGAAAAGCAAGTGGCCACTGAAGGTTGTGTAATGATTTCCGTCGTCATAAATCCTTGTGTTTGGCCACTGACGCAAAAACACAACATCTCCAGTTTCTAACAGCAATGTGGCACTATTAGATGGGTTAACATTGTAGGAAGCCTGATGTTCATATGCGATGACAATAGGATTCCCATTCCTGACCAACACAGCAGCTGTCGGATGTGATGCATGTCCAACTCCATGTAAGTAAAACTCAAAGTGATAGGCTCCTCTCACCGGGGCAATGAAAAAACCTGAGGAACATTGAACAATAATGTTTCTATTGAACCTTTTCATCCGTATATTTACATAAAGAATCAATCAATTAACTGCATGTCAGGATTATAAAGAGAATCAAGTTGTAACAGTGGATAAAATGGGGTACCTGTGTTTGGATTGTAGGCATTTCCAATATTTGCAACAACATGTCTGAAGACTAGAGGCGTCTGTGTGTTAAATGGTCCAGTATGTCTTGAACCTGATGCCAGCAAGGAAGCTGAGAAAGCCACTTGTTTCACTACGAGACAATAAGTTAGTATTATTGGGATCAAGCAGCTACTTGTTCTTGAAAAGCTATTTGGTGTATTTAAAATTACTATCTTAATAATAAAAAAAATCTAAGCATATTAAACAATTAATGGACATGAAATAAAAGTACACAACTTGGTTCTTGTTGCGTGACATAACATTTTTAGTTTGATACTAATGAGTTTCCCAAACCTTCTCTTTCTCTCTTCAGAACCTCCACTTGGTTTTCAGTGTTGTTTGTCCTGGCTTTAACACTGATCAGTTCTCCTATCTGAGCTGAAAATTGATTAAAACAAACATGAAATGTAAAATAAAACAATATATCCTCTGTCATTTTTCACAGTAATAGTTTGACATCACAAATTCACAGCAGTTTCTGGTCTCTTGATGTTACTGGACTTCAGTGGCGGAACAAGTCGGCGTCTGGCCGGGGGGCGGGGCTAATGACCGGGACCTTTATATCCAAAATAAGAAAGCTCATGAAAACATAATTTTATGAAGTACAAATAAAAGCCACTCATATTTGTCATAAAAATACTCCAATCTACCTATTTTGCAATCTGTTCCTAAGTATCTGACTGATGATGACGTTGTGGATGGTTGGTGATGTGTTTTACCCAGAATGCACTTGGAGACAATATTGGCGATCATCTTGTAAATTTGTATGTCATAAAGTTAAATGTAAGAATGAAAATAAAGCCAGTTATGTCGCACAACATTTTATTCAATATTTTATACCTACTATGTCACTAAAATCAGTCGGTCTTGTAAAGTTTTTAGCAACCATGAGTCAACAATGAGTGGGGCAGCCTACTATATAAACTACTCGGCGACTTCTTTTTAAAATTTACATGTACCATACTCAACAGGAGAGGGCCCACCTTCTCTAGCTCTTATCAGACGTGATACAGACTTGAATCTTTTAAGTCATACTCTGCCTCACATCCGGGCCGTCCCCCCAGTTCTCCCCCCCATAGCTCCGCCCCTGCTGTGCTGTGTGGAAAAAATACAGCAACAGCCACATCTTAGCATTTTATGCCACTGATTGTTCAGGGAAAGCAGGTTGAGCAGGTAGAGTGCTTTAACTATCTGGGGACACAGATGGACACCTGGCTGTCTCAACAAGTACATTCAGATTTATAATAAAGCCCCTTAGTGCCTCGATCTTCTCATGAAGCTGAGATATTTTAGGGTTAGTAAAAAGATTTTAATAATGGTTTACCCATCACTTTCAGTGTCACTTAGTCTTAGTACAATTTTACCTCTAGCAAACAGAAAACAAAACTGACACATCACAAATCAAGCCAGCAAAATAACTGGTTCCTTGTACACATTACTGTCCCATCTGCATGAGCGCTCTCATTCCTTCCATTCCTCATTCACTCTCCTGCCATCAATCCTGCTGCCCAGGAAAGGAATAAATAAAAATACAAACATCCATCCCCACTGCAATTACAGCAGAAGTATTTCTAAAACCTGCTAATGATTTTTTTTTAAAACCTTGTGTACATGTCTCTCTTTTTGTATGTGTATGAGTCCTGTCTAAGATAAATTTCCGATAGATTTGGTGTCAGACAACTTTTCCTGTTTTATTCTGAGATTTTGAAAATTGTTTAAATAAATCAGCTTTGTTTGCTCCTAAATATTTGAGAAAAATAGTCTTAGTGAGTCATTTGTCACATAAAATAATTTATTGTTAGAGTAAAGTTATAGATACCTTGGTATTGTTGCTCAAGATTCGTTACTTTTGTCACTTGCTCTAAAATAGTAAACATGGACAAACAATTGATATTAGTTAATATAACATCCTTCTTATGTTAAACATTGTCCTCTTTTGTGATAACATCAGGGTTTTGTTTGTTGTATTATAAATACCTTGGTTCTGCTGCTCAAGATTCCTTACTTTTGTCACTTGCTCTAAAATAGTAAAAATAAACATACAATTCATATTAGTTAATATAATGTCCTTCTTTTGCTAAACATTGTCCTTTTTTGTGATAACACCAGGGTTTTATTTGTTGTCTTCTAAATACCTTGGTATTGTTGTTTTATCAAGTCCAGTTCTTCTGTCTTGGCTGTTGCAGGAGTAAAATGAAAAACACTGAAATGTGACTATTTGAATATAAACACTTTAGTTTCATACAGCAGTGATTTCTGGTTAACATACCTTCATTATCTCTCTGTAGATACGCCATACCAACCTTCAGTCCAGCCAATGAAGCGCTCATCTCTCTCAGCACAGCATTGATGTCTTGTGTGCAGGTTTGTTGGTTGTCAGAGAGATTTCCTGCATCTGCTGCCTGTGATTCTGTTTGCCTTAAATGTGAAATAACTTCATTGTCGGCTGCAGCTTGGAGCTGAGCTGTGAAGAGAGAGCAGATCAGAAGCAATGCAGGAAAAAATATTGTCATCTCCATTTTTAGTTTCAGTTTCCCTGGGTCAGGTCTGTGGGTTGTGTGACAACCAAAGCCTTAAATATACAATTTCTTATCAGTGAATAATGATTAACATTTTTTTTTTTTTTGAGAAATTTGTGCATGGGATAAGACTTGAAGATTTGCTTTGCCATGTTAAAAACAATACTCAAGGTAACTGGTTACAATAATGATGTCACATATACATTTAGTACCAATTACTCTTTTACCTTGAATTTGTATCATGGGAAATATGGGACATCATTGTAAGCGATTAGCATGAAAATTATCCAAACTTTTTACAGGTTTCTTTTTCTAAAACATCTTCAAGGAAATAATATTCTGGAGGAAAATATCTAAAGAGAAACATAACTAAATCATGTTTATGACAGTAACTTAACTCAGATGTTTTTTAAACACTTAGGTTGTTTTATTGGTATGAAAGTGATGTAGAGCAAATTTTAGGGTCTTCTAAAAATCTTTACAATTTTGAAGATACACAAAACACTGATGATACACAGTCTTACCACATGGCCTCTTTGACTGTTATTGTTTCCTTACACAAATGGTGCAAAATCTTCTCCCTCCTAATTATTTGGCCATTATTTTTGCTTCTGAAATAAAACATGAGAACTAGCACTCAATTAGACTCGGTGGTGATAAATCAAGCAACAAACCCATGTAAACCCACTTAAAATCTTTGGAGAACTATTCCAGAACTAGAAGATAGTATAATGGTTATTTTTTGCTTGAGTTTAATATCTATTAATATTTTTCAAACATTCTGACTGAGCAAAAGTCATATTTTGGTACCTTTTAAAAATCAGACTTCATTTTTTTAAACATTTTCTTTCATTTTTGGGATACATTGGTGGTGTTGTTGTAGTTCGTAGAGCTCTCTTTCGCACCTCCACTTCTCTCATCTTAGCAGAGTTTGTATTGAAGAAAAAATATGATTACATTTTGTCTTTCTTTTCAAAGAAACAATGACATCCAAATATGTCAAAACTAACATTGCTACAATTCTCCGCCATGCCGTATTAATATGGATTTCTTTCCACTATGGAATCCAGCAAAGATAACATTCCTATTTTTTTGTTTCTTAGTCATGCTAAAAAGAGACATTTCAATACATATCTTTGATTAAAGGTTTTGTGTCTTTACAGTTGTGAGTAGAAAAGTCAAGCAGGAAGCTCAACTCCTCTGTATTGCTGTTCCAAGAATCCTGACCAAAACTAGAGAATTGATCAAGTCATCCTTCTGTTACTGCTTTGGTTTTCTGGACAAACACATTTTTTCCAGAAAGCCAGTGTTTTCAAGATACTTAATTTTAACATATGTATAAAGCATCTAGATTCTTCAGCTCATGGACAGCTTAGGTATTAATGACTTTTAAAAAGAAATACAGAGCCCTAAGGTTGACCAAGATGGACTTTGTTATACAGTTATCTGTACAAGACAAGACTATAATAATCACCTATGCAGGAAATATTCAACCAGTGCTGACATCAAAACAAGTTCTTTGGAAAAAATTCCAGATAAATGCTTAGAAAGTGAACTGCTTTCTAACTCGCATTATGTTTCATTTCAAACGCAGCTTTAATGAAAATAGTTGATAAGAGAATCAAACATTTCTTAAATTTCTGAGAGGGTTATGTTTAAATGTTTAATTAACAACAACAAAAACAACAAAAAACAGTCCAAACATTTTGATTTCATCATGTTATAATGTGACCCAGTAACTTACCATGAGGAAATAGATGAATGATAAGGACTATTTTCTCTTTGTGCTTCCTCAATAACAGTAGTATAAATGATAAGTTCTTATTTGGGCTCAGACTGATAAACCAACACTTACCAGATAGCAGCATCACACATGTGATAAACTGCTGATAACAAAGTGTTTTTCTTATGTGCTTCCTTAATAAAAATAACACATGGAAAACAAAAACAAAAACAGATGGCTTTGCAAGAAAAGTTGCAATGGGATGTCAATTTGTATAAAAAACAATTCAAAAACATGCCTTGTTTGCTTTGTTTTTGTATTGCTCTAATTGAAAAAAAGAGAATTAAGACTTGGACTGACCTGGTAACAGAAATCCTGTTACCATGAATTCAAATAAATACAGGTCCTCAGCACGAGAAGGATCAGAGCAAAAACAGAGCAAGCAGGGTGAAAGTCTTGAGGTAATCTTCAGAAATAAAATTCAGTTTCGAAATGAGTTAATGGCAAGCATTACATAATGTTTTCAGTACAATGATAGTTCTGGTTGTTTTATTATTATTATTATTATTATTATTATTATTATTATTATTATTATTATTTTGACCATGTTTAATTGACATGAACCACCTGTTTTATGTTAGAAGTTGAAGGCACTAGAGTTGATGGCCAGGAGTAGCAATTATCAAAAACGTCTACTAGAGGGGGCTGTTTGTCATGACCTAAAGTCCATTTTTAGACTGCATTAGCTCATTTAAAAGGTAGCTTGCTACCTGTTAAGGTTATTTTTATTTGCTATTACTTCGAACAAGAGATTAAACAAGTAACAACTTGTAAAACGAGTCAGTGTCATGCAAGGAAACATCAGTAGCTAACTATACTTTGAGGCATAATGTTTACTTCTTAATGGTGAAAATATTTATTTTACCACTTAACTTAATAAACGTGAATGATGACAATGAGTTGCATGGAATGTACGTCTGCAAAATGTTTCTGAAAAAAGGGAAGAGTGGTTTAAAGCACAATTAATCCACAGTGAGCTGGATGAATGTCCCTTTAAGAGGAAGGAAATGAAACGAGAAGCCAGCCGGAACTGCTTCCTTGTTACCCCCGACTATCAAAACATTCGTGCGCTATGGGAGAGTCCGCGTCCTCGGAAATCCATTTTCTAATGTGAAATTCGGCGTTAGTCGTCAGGAAAACTTCGCGAACATCGTCTCCTCCGCCATGCTCCAGCTGAACGACACGGTGGACCCGGAGAGCCCGGGTGCTGCGGTTCTCCTCCACGCAGAGACCGAGGAGGGGGTCGAGGTC